GCAGGGACAAGCAGAAGTCTTACACCTTACTTGGTTTACAGATCTATGGAAACGATGTGCTTATCAGGTGTTTATAAATATCTGATCTGATAGATAAAAAAATAAGATTATTTTATCTGGTAATAATAGCCATAAGAAAGGCAGCAGAATTCCTTTAAATCACTACAGCCTAGTTTAAAATGCTCCAAGGATGAATATATACCTTTATGTATAAGGTGAGGCTGATGGTCTAAGATGAAATGAAGGTAAGAGAGCAGATATCTGTGGACACTAGGGTAAATGAAAGGAAACAGGATGACATCCACAGTCTCAGAAGCAGTTATTTAAAACAGGACTGTGGCAGAAGAAAGGGGTGATGGGAAGCCACCATACTCTGGAGGCCTTCTTTAGGTGACATTCAGCAGGGAAGGAGATGTTGAATGGGATTGCAAAGTGAAAGCAATATCTTAAAAATCAGCTGGTCACACTAACCCCAACGATTGCCCTATAATGCAAGCTGTGAACCTGGAACCAATGGAAACATACTCATAATACAAAGAGGTAAAAGCCCTGCCAGGAGCTGCATTGGGACCCAAGGTGCCAATTCAAGTACAGTTTGAGAACCCCAGCTTGGAGTGCAGTTGTTCTGTAAATTAAAATGGACTTCATCCTTAGGGCTTCCCAGTGGAATTAATTCTGCCACTTTTCTTTGGCACAGGCTTTAAAAGAGATGGTTGTGGATTAGCTCATTACAGCAAACAGCTCTCATCATTCCAGACATTCGAATTAGATGTTGTATATTGTGTGTAATGGTTTTTGGAAATCTTCCCTCTGAATTTCTGCTTTACTATGAGAATGGTGTGAGGTTTAGGTGAAGACAATTTTGTGATTATTTTGTGGAGCTGCCTGCGAGGAAATCAGCACATCCCACAAAGAAGAACCTTGTTGAAGGAATAGGGATGCAGAAAGCATTTAAGAGAGACATTTTAAGAAGAACATCTCTTCCTGCATGTACTTATGCTCCTACCAACATGTATACACTTGACATTGAGTCAGCAAACAGAGCACTTGGAGGCAACTATAATACTTGTTCCTGTCTACACTTTTAAAATGCCTTTATGGGCTCTGTTATTTCACTAACCCTTGAGTGACTGACAGATAAAACACCAGAGACAATCTGAAGGGAGGAGAGAG